ACCTGGAGACCACCGAGTTAAGACTGAAGACACGCCTTAAATCGACGAGGAGGAGCGGGGAATGCGAGAAAGAAAGAAAATACAGACCTGCCGCTGAGGGCTGCAGAGCTGTTGAAAGGCAGGCATCATCAGAAACTGGGAGAGAGCTATTACACAGGTTTCGCCTCCCTGACATAGTTCTTTTAACATTTTATTAAGAGTAGGAGGGTTTGCATCATGAAGAATCTATCTCAAGTTCACATCAGGCAGGACCCACCAAGGAAGAGAGAAGAAATCATTCTGTGGTTTGCATAGAACTTATAAGGAGTAGGACAGAGATGTCTTAAGAAAGAGGGATAGAATGTGCCTTTCCACTTCGCTGTTCTTACAGTGCTGGAGATGTTTAAACACAGAAGTAACAGCCCAATTCCTTGATACACACAACAGCTAGGTGAAGCCACCTAAAGGAGTTAGGAAATGGGTTGGTGGCAGATATTGCAAGCAATATGTAAATGTTAACCCCTGCTGTTGTTGCTATTCTTATCTTCCAGTCTTGTCTCTCAGTTTCCTGGGGACTGGTCAGATGCATCTGAATCACAGCCCAGACTGGATGTGGAATCAAGGGAGATTTTCCTAAGAAGCCCAGATTGCCTTACCTCAAATGCCACCTCCTCCAAGAAGCACTTCCTGACCACCCTCCTTAAAGTAGCTCTCCATCTGCTACAATCACTGTCCATTAATCCTGTTTTTCCTTCATGGTATCTCCCGCTATCTGAAAATGCTGTATCTTTGTTTGGTTATATGATTATTGTCAATTACACAGTACTAAAAGTTAACCTCCCTGAAGCCAGAGATCTTGTCTTGTTCACCATTATCTGCCCCGCCCCTGGGAAGATAGGTATTTGTTGACTAAATGGACAAATGGAGATTGTCTTCTCTGCTCCACTGAAAGTTATGTTTTTCATTCTTCCTTTCCCTTCCACATGCACTCTCCACCCTTCTCTGCTGTTCTGCCTCAGGAGGCAGGCTCATCTTTATGGAATTCATCACAAGGGTTGTGTGCCCTTCTGGCTTCCTCTTGGGTTTGGCCAGTGGGAGACACCAGCAGGAACTGGCAAAGTGGAAGGGGAGATAAGTTGGGATATTTTTGTCCCTACTCCATCCCTCCCTCGGCCCTGTTGCTTTGGCGGTGGCTCTGCTCCTTGTCTGAAGGCCAGTGCCCTCATCAGGAGGCTTCTCTCCCACAGATACAGCTCTTGCTGAGGTCTAATAACAACCTCTTTCTCTTGCCTCTTAATTAAGGCCCAGAGCTGGTAAGGGCTCCTCCTTGTTCCTAGTCTCTGGGCGCAGCATCATTTTGGTTAACCTCACCAACATCTCTGTCTTTCTGTTAAGCCTTTTTCATTTACCCTGTGCCATCATCTCTCTTGCTGACACTGTCTGGTACACAGGCAATTTCACCACAGGATCTCGTGGAAATACCAGTTTTGTGTAAGAGAGATTTTTCAGGGACTCCTAGGGCTGTAAGTAAGAAACATCCTAGACTATGGATGAACCCAACTCCATATAACACGTAACTCTAGAAGCACCACTTCATCTTTTTGAGCCAGGAGTGAAGTCAATTACAGTTTTCTCTTCTAGATAATGAGGAAACTGATACCTTCCTTTGCGTAGATGACCAGATGAACAGAAAATGAAAGGGCTTTAGAGCAACCAATGACAATATCAATGCAAGAGATACAT